ACTGCAGCTAATTGCACGTGCACGTATTGCACAAAATTGACGTAGTGCACAAATTTTAGAATAAAATGTATATTCTGCAGCTCAAGATCTAGCCAAGATCCGGTTGAAGGACCAAAATTTTATGGACGTATTTTCCAAGAAATTCGTATACTGTATGTCTTGCAGAACTTATTTTATAAATTAAACACTATTTTAATTTGATTCAATTTATTTGCCGAATAATTGTAACGGAGTACGGAAATCACAATGATATCGATTTACTGATAAAAGGTACTATCGACCTGAACAGTTATAATCCCAAAATCTATCTATTGAATTCTAGTTACTGCTGGTACTGATAATACTGCAGCAGCAGTGTTGACTAGTGTGAACAAAAATAATGGTGTTACCATATACAATTCTTTCCAATATGCTTCACGCTTTCGGTGACGTGCGCATACAATACAATACAATCAAAGAACTCTCTCACGCGACACGACGACCAATCACAATCGACCCGTATAAAAATATCATCAAGAGCGAATGGCAAAGGGCGTAACGGTCATTTTCACAAATTTACTCCCAAAAGTTCAAAAATTTAACGATTTTTTCGCCCAACTAAAATTACACCTAATATTTGGTGTGGGAGAGAGGTAGGGGTTAATTTTAAATATCAGCAAAATTCTCTAAATAAAATCGGTCACGTGATCTTAGTCTAAGCAAATATAAATTCCAGTACTAAATCATAATCCCTGACAAATTACAATACTTGCCCCGATATAAATCATCCATCCAAACCATCCCCAATATCAACTCAAATAATTCTCCAAAAGTAGTATTAATACACTTCGCCATCGCCGTGACATCTGCTAGTTTAACCCCCAGATTTGGGGATGATTTGGAGGGTAGATTGGTCTCCTGTCTCCTGCCCATAGCCACACAGACATTAGCTTTTATGTCGCCCCATTACTATGTTATATTGTTCTAAGGGTGAAATCGATTAGGGGTTTAATCGTCCCTTTGTGACCTCTTCTTCGAGCTGTACTGGGCGTAAGGGCGTAAGGGCGGAATATACGAATGTCCGTTCGTGCGTCCGATAATCGGGAAAAGAGATTTGGTGGAGGTAATTTTTTTTGTAAAATTAATTTGGAACTAGTGGTGTATGGCTTGAGGCAAATTGCTGGAACTTCCCGTATAGGGATAAAATTTTAAATGTTTTTAAATAAATGATTATGAATACTGTAAATTTTATTATTATTGTTTTATCTGAATTAAGACTGCGAGCAAATCAAACATAAACTAGTGGTGTATCGCATCATGCCTCAGGGCAAATTGCTGGAACTTCCCGTACCGTAATAAAATATTCGAGAAATTTTGAACGTTTTCAAATATATTATTACCAGTGGATTATTAATAATACTGTAGGTTTTATGATTTTTGGTATCTTGTTATATCTGAATTACAAATCAAGTTATCTCTATTTCTAATTTAATTTTTAAAAAAATAGTTTGTAATTTGCATAAAATTTAAAAAAAATGCTCCAGTAAAGTCACATTCTAAACGCAGTTCCGAAAATATTAGTACCAGGTTGTCGCTCAGATTGTACTTAGTCAGGGTGAAGTTCTATTTTTAAACCCAAATTTACATTTCTATAATTTACATGAAATTAGAAAAGTGCTCCCGTAAAGTCACAGTCTAAACTCATTTGCAAATAATTTTGTGCGACATTTTCACTTATACTGTGCTTTGCTTGGCGGTATTTTCACATTTTTCAAAAGTTCTCACAAAATTAAAAAAACGCTCCCGTATAGTCATATTCCAAACACACTTGCGAAAATGTTTGTACCAGGTCGCCACTTAGACTGTTCTTAGCCTGGGGGATTTTTCACGTTTTTTCAATTTTTTTAACTCGAATTTACATTTTTATAATTTACAAAAAAAATTGGAAAAGTGCTCCAGTACAAAAACAGTCTAAACAAACTTGTGAAAAAAATTGCACCAGCTTGTCACTTAGAATGTGCTTAGTTTGGGCAGTTTTTTTTAATTTTTACTCAAAATTACATTTCTATAAATTATAGATCTAAAATTAAAATTAATATCCAAATTATTTTCAAAATCCAAAAAAAAAAAAAAATTTGGAGATTTTAAAAAAAAATGAAATTTAGAAGTACATAAACTAGAAGTGTATGACATCGTGCCTTAAAGTAAATTTCTGGAACTTTCCGTACCATAATGAAATATTCGAGGAATAAAATTTAGTAAAAAAAAAATTGATAAAAAAACAGATTTTTTCTCCCCATAAACAATCGTTTCGTCAACACAAACAAAGTTTTTTGAATCACTAAAATCGTTCTCTCAAAAACTACCATTTTTTGCACATTTAGCTCCGTATCTTCGAAATGGCTGGGCCTGCCTTTGCCAAAAACTAATGAAAACTTCTCCCAATCATTACTAATTGGATGTTTTTTAGATCATTCAAATCGGATACTCCGATCTCTCACAAACTTAATTGCCATTTTCTGCACTCTTTGCTACGTATCTCCGAAACGGCTTGTCCAACCTTTGCCAAAAACTAATCAGCACATCTCCATATCAATAGAAATCGAATGGTAAATGAATCATTCAAATTGGTTGATCCATGCACCCGAAATCTTAGACGAAAAATTGGATCTGCACATACATACACACACACATTTTTTCTGAGGTATGCCAAAATGTTCAGAAACTTTCAAAACGTCGAGTTTCATTTTTGATTTTTGGCCCATTACCATAACTATCCTACGGGAAGCTAATAATTCAAACCGAATAATCCATACTCTCGAAATCGTCGACGCACACACACACACATTTATTTTGAGGTATGCCAAAATGTTCAGAAACCTTTGAAACGTAAAATTTGATATACAATTTTTTTGCAATTACTATATCTCTTCTTACTACACTATCTTTTATCTTTTATCTGTTATCTAATAAATCTTAATCTAACAAAACCCATAAACATACATCAACTCTATACTACCTCTGCAATGTACTATAAATAGTTAAGAACTTCTAGAAAAGCAACAATTTATACACTTTGCCCACATAATACCACTTGCACCATAAATGGTAAATGGTAAAACAGTAATATTTATGGTCGTGTGTAATTACTGCGAAAAAGGATTATTTCGCAGCGCGGCGGCGCTTCGGACGTTATAAATAATATTTATTTATGAAAAGATAGGATTTTGTCGGAAGAATTATTGGGGGGATAAAATTGTACTGGCAAAAAACAAATGTAAAAAAATAAAGAGTGCGCGTAAGTTTCACACGCGATTGAAGTAAAACTTTTTTGCTACTGCACAAGATGGCATTTAAGTAAAAATAAATACATCATATAACAATTTTGAATAATGTTTATGAGTAATATGGTAACACTCGTGATGCACACATTTAGTAGTGTCGACAATTATACACATTTATATAATGATAAATTATAAACTATATATTTATAATAGTATTGAAAATATGTATAATATTTAAAAACAATAATAGAATTCAAGTCATACTTCAAATATGACATGATCGGTTTGTCATTGTAATTAGCATTTAGAAACAAACCTTCATTTAGAAACGAACCTATATTAGAGTAATAATTGTGTTTGAAGAACTTCATGTAATTAAAATTAACATACATTCATTGACTGCTTGTAACTTTTTTACTTTTTTCCAGACGATATTCAATTTGCACGTCAGTAGAGTCATTTTTTAATAACTTTGCTCGTCAGTAGAATCCGCTTTTAATGTCATTAAATATTAATAGTTTTGCTCGACAGCAAAGTTTCTTTTTCATGTAATTTAATATTAATAATTTTGCTCGTTAGTAGAGTCCCTTTTTGGTTTTTTAAATCAATTTTGTACATTTCCATGAAGTTATTTGATCAGTTGTCAGTAGAGTCCCATTTGTCTTTTTTGTCAATTTTTAGTTTGCTCGACAGTAGAGTCTTTTTTTATATTTACGAATTTCAAATTTGGTCGCCAGTAAAATCCATTTTTAAATATTTTATATTAGAATTGAGTTTGCTCGTCAGTAGAGTTCTTTTTTAGAGACATTGCTTATTCATATTTTGCTCGTCAGTAGAGTCCATTTTTTTCTTCTAAATTGAAATTAATTAATAATTTGCTTGTCAGTAGAGTCCCATTACAAATATTTTATTAAAATTGAGTTTGCTCGTCAGTAGAGTTCTTTTTAGAGACATTTCTTATTCATATTTTGCTCGTCAGTAGAGTCCTTTTCTTTTCCTCTGAATTGAAATTAATAATTTGCTTGTCAGTAGAGTCCCATTACAAACATTTTATTAAAATTGAGTTTGCTTGTCAGTAGAGTTCTTTTTAGAGACATTTCTCATTCATATTTTGCTCGTCAGTAGAGTCCCTTTCTTCTTTTCTAGATTGAAATTAAAATTTGCTTGTCAGTACTTCAGTAGAGTCCCTTTCACAAAACATTTTTCATTAATATTTTTGCTTATCGGTACAGTCCTTTTTAGTATCTAAGTTAAATTTGGGGATAAAAAAGGACTCTACTGACGATCTAGTTAATTTTTAAACTCATAACAAAAACTCTACTGGCGGGCAAATTAAAAAACAATTTAGAAGATTAAAAGGGACTCTACTGACAAACAAATTGGTTCTCAAAATCATGAAAAGGAACTATACTGACGAGCATTTTTCATTAAATCAAGATTTGTACTACGATGTAATTTTAAAATGTTAATATCGGTACGCATACAACGACAGATCTCTATTCACATACACAACGACTAATCACAATCGACCCGTATTGACATGATATCATCCAGAGCGAATGACGAATCATTGGCACTCGACTCTTATGTTATTTGTACGGATTTACACCCTAGTCGCGCCTAAAGAAGTTTTACTTCAAAAATATTTTTCGTAAATTTCATTTACTATAATTTATATGTCCTAAAAAGTTTTACTTCAATACGAATTAAATAAAATGATTATTTCTTTTTTTCCAGGGCGTCCTCCACCAACAGTAAGTTGGTTAGTAAATGGTCTTTTAGTCGATGGCCAGGCCGAGCAGACGAGTGGTGACGTCATAGAGAATCGCCTGATGTGGCCCACACTGGCCAGGGCCGATTTAGGGGCCCTTGTTACGTGTCAGGCTATAAATACGCAGCTGATTGAACCCAGAGAGACATCTTTTGTTTTGGATATGCATTGTGAGTTGGTGATAAAATTTTTTGGTCAAATTCCGCAATAAATTTGCAAAATCCGCTATAAATTTGTTAGTTACTTCTTACATTTGTGAATTTGATAATATTATAAGTTTCATTGATTACCTTTATAAATTTGCAAATTCCGCAAGATAATTAGTATATTCCGCATAATATTTGTAAATTGTGCATCATAATAAATAGTATTACTATTAAAACATAAGAATGAAAATCTTAATTATCGTAATAAATACCTCAAATTCTGCAATTAATATTCAAATTCTGCAATTAAGATTCCAAATACGCCAAATTAAATATTCCAAATCCGCAATAATTATTTTAAAATACATTATAAATAACTTAAAATCCAAATTCCGCAATAAATATTTCAAAGCACGTAATAAATATCTAAAATTCTGCATTAAATGAATATCTCAAATTCCGCAATATAAATCTAAAATGTCTCAACTTCCGCAATAAATGAATATCTAAAATTCCGCATAATAAAGATCTAAAATTCCGCAATGAAAATCTAAAATTCCGCAATGAAAATCTAAAATTCCGCAAAAATTATTTTGAAATCCGCAAAAAGTGTCTAAAATTCCGCAATAATGATCTAAAATTCCGCAATAATGATCTAAAATTCCGCAATAAAGATCTAAAATTCCACAATAAAAATCTGAAATTCCGCTATGAAGATCTAAAATTCCGCAATAAAGATCTAAAATTCCACAATAAAAATCTGAAATTCCGCAATGAAGATCTAAAATTCCGCAATGAAGATCTAAAATTAAACAATAAAAATCTGAAATTCCGCAATGAAGATCTAAAATTCCGCAATGAAGATCTAAAATTCCGCAATAAAGATCTAAAATTTCGCTAAATAAATATTTTAGATTCCGCATAATAAATATTTCAAATTCCGCATAATAAATATTTCAAATTCCGCATGATAAAGATCTCAAATTCCACATAATAGAGATCTCAAATTCCGCAATAAAAATCTAAAATTCCGCAATGGAACTTCAAATTCCGCAATATATATTCCAAATTACCCCATAAATATTCCAAATTACCCATAAATGTTCTAAATTCCGCAATCAAACTTTAAATTCCGCAATCAAACTTTAAATTCCGCAATCAAACTTTCAATTCCGCAATCAAACTTTCAATTCCGCAATCAAACTTTCAATTCCGCAATCAAACTTTCAATTCCGCAATCAAACTTTAAATTTCGCAATCAAACTTTAAATTCCGCAATGAAACTTCAAATTTTGCAATCAAACTTCAAATTCCGCAATAAATATTTTAAAATTCCGCAACAAACATCTAAAATTCCGCAACAAACATCTAAAATTCCGCAACAAACATCTTAAATTCCGCAATGAAACTTCAAATTTTGCAATAAAAATTCCAAATGCCGCAATAAATATTTCAAACTCCGCAACAAATTTTCAAATTTCGCAGGGCATTTTCAAATTCCGCAATACATATTTTAAAATTCCGCAATAAATACACCCAGGCCTCGCTATACGGCCGCTCTTTATACGGCCTTTCGCTATAACGGCCCTCTTTAATTAAGGTACGTTTTCGATATACGGCCTAAAATGTTTCGCTATAACGGCTTTTTTTCTCTATGTCGATATATTGCGCAATCTCGGTTTTGAAGATTTAAACGAATCTGATGTGCTGGATCTACTTGCAACTGATAGGGAACCCCTTTCATATGAGGAACTCATTCAGTTGCAAGCAGAGCCGGCAATTGATGAAGATACAGAACCTGTTGTATCCAAACAGCTAACATCAAAAATCATGTCGAGCGCTTTTTCATATTTTGAACAAGGTGTAAACATCTTCCTTGAAAACGATCCTGACATCGAACGTAGCGCTTATGTGTACCGAGGAATTAAATCAGCCATTAACTGTTATAAATCACTAAAGGAAAAAATAGACAAGAAGGCAAAACAAACAAGACAAATTTTTCAACCCACCAGCGCAAAATGATGGTGACAGTGATCTGTAGGTTTTAGTTGTTTCATTTTTATTTGAAAATTATGTAATGTTTTTGAAGTTTTTTATTTTATGTAAAATTTATGTTCTTGTTAGATATGTTTATAATTTAAACAAAATAAAAATATAAAATGCATTTTGAATGATAAACCATATTATATATTTATTAAATTTGGAACCGATCCCATTGAATTTGTATGAATACGTATTAGAATAATTGATTCGTTATACGGCTTTTCGCTTTACGGCCAAGTTTTGCGGAACGTATCTAGGCCGTAAAGCGAGGCCCCAGTGTATTATAAAATCCTAAATTCTGCAAGGCATTTCCAAATTCCGCAACACATTTCCAAATTTCGCTCTGCATTCCCAAATTTCGTAACACATTTCCAAATTCCGCAGAATATTTTCAAATTCCGCAACGTATTTCCAAATTTTTCATCATAATTTTTCAAATTTTCAGTAAGACCCCTAACAGCAACAATAATCCAACCATCGGAATCATTGGTGGCCGACAGAAGGTACGAGGTCATTTGCGAATCCGTGGGCTCTAGACCTCCGGCTATAATAACCTGGTACAAGGGAAAAAGACAATTGCGAAGAACGAAGGTAATAGAGTTAAATCCACTGAAGGGCCAAAGGCCAAAACTTTCTCTCCAGCTAAAAAAATGCATTGTCATATTATATATAAACGTAATATTTATCAGATAAACTCATATGTGGGTTTGAAAGTGTGTGTGTATGCGAGTGAATGACATAAGCCAAATAGCTCATAGAATTGCCATGTATTCTGATTGCTATTGAAAATAAAATTAAGAAAAAAAATGCATTTAATTTATTAATTTTTAGGATGAATCTCACGAAAACCGAACAGTAAGTTCCTTGAGCTTCGTACCGAGCACTGAGGATGACGGAAAAGAAATTACGTGTCGTGCTGAAAATCCAAATGTTACAGGAATGTTTAAGGAGACTGTATGGACTTTAGATGTAGTCTGTAAGTATAATAACACTGCATATATACATACACACACATATACACACATACATACACACATACACAATCAATTTTCTCCAGGTATGTCAAAATGTCCAGAAATTTCTGAAACACTTTTAGACGATTACTATATATAACTTACCCTGCAAAAAGTTAATAAAAAGCAAATGCAACTTGTGGTGTATGGAATCGTGCCTTAAGGCAAATTGGAACTTCCCGTACCGTAATGAAATATTTGAGAAATTTCAAACGTGATATTACAAATGCTGTAACTTTCATTATTTTTGCTATCTTGTTTGTTATATCTGAGCAAATCATATATCATAAATGTAAATCATAAATCATAAATCAATTTATCTCCAGAACATTAACAATACTCATTTCATTTCGAATTCAATTTAAAAAAAAAATAGTTGCCTAATTTACACACAATTGAGAAAAAGTGCTCCCGTATAGTCACAGTCTAAACGCATTTGCAAATAATTCTGTGCGACATTTTCACTTATACTGTGCTTAGCTTGGCGGCATTTTCATATTTTTCAATAGTTTTCACGAAATTGGAAAATTATTCCAACACATAAACGGTCTAAACGCGCTTGGGAAAACATTTGTACCAGACTGTGCGCTCAGAATGTGCTTAGCCTGGGCCATTTTTTAAATTTTTAATCCAAAATTACAAAAATATTTTTTGAAAAAAAAATTAGGAACAAATTTTTTTTCGAAAAGCAATTATTTTGTTGAAACAAGCAGAAAGTTCTTTGAATCATTCAAACCGGACGCTTATAGTTGTCTCAAAAACTGCTATTTTTTTAACATTTAGCTCTGTATCTCCGAAACCGCTGGGTCTACCTGTGCCAAAAACTAATCAGCACATCTCCCTATTAATAGGAATCGAAGGTTTTTTAAACCATTCAAATCGGTTGATCCGTGCCGCCCGAAAACGTGGAAGAAAAATTGTATCCATACATACATACACACACACATCCATTTAGTTTCTGAGGTATGCCCCTTAAAAATGTTCAGAAACCTTCAAAACGTCGAAAAATGCAAAAATTATCATTTTCCTTTGCCCATTACTATAACTACCCTACGGGAAGTTAATAACCGAAAAATGGTCACAATTTCACCAAATGTTGACGTTGAATTCTGGGACATCCTGTATATATATATATATATATATATATATATATTGATGTAATAAATTTGTTTCTGCATTTGATATATATCTGGCGGTAAATCATCCTCAACAAGCATTCGTAGTACCTTTTTAACAATGGCGATACACAAAGAGATGCCCCATAAAATCGGAAACATCTACCCCCCAACACACACATACACAGATATATATATATATATATATATATATATATATATACATATATATATATTATGTCCTAGGTAGAGATAAAGATTTCCCCTTGCAATTCGTTATATCGACTGCTCCACCGGTCTCCTTTTGTGGCACATATCTATAACAATAATTGGGCCGGCCTTGGCTGGCTGCGGTGGAGCGGTGGAGCGGTGGAGTGTTCTTTAAGAACACATAATTTGGGTTTATTCCTCAGAGGATGATTGAGGATTTTTATGGGCTCCTTATTCTTCCTGTATTTTATGTAGGTCGTTCGTTTGATTCGGTAAAATATGATGCATCATTAGTGGATAGTAGTTGCTTGAAGATAAGGAAAATTTTACAATTTTTTCGAAGAGTATGAATTTGCTGTTAGGTCGAAATAGTATGTAAATAGTGCTCTTAGACTTTTTATATGTAAGTAAGGTCAAGAAAAAGTAACTAGTGGTGTATGGCATTGTGCTTTAAGGCAAATTGCCGGAACTTCCCGTATCGTAATGAAATATTCGAGAAATTTTAAACGTTTTCAAATATATTATTACAAATACTGTAACTTTCATTATTTTTGCTATCTTTGCTATGTCATTTCTGAGCAAATCAAATGTAAATCATAAATCAACTTATCTCCGGAATATTAACAATCGTCATTTCATTTCGAATTCAATTTCAAAAAAAAAAGTTGCCTAATTTGCACAAAAGTGAAAAAGTGCTCTCTTATAGTCACAGTCTAAACGCATTTGCAAATAATTCTGTGCGACATTTTCACTTATACTGTGCTTAGCTTGGCGGCATTTTCACATTTTTCAATAGTTTTCACAAAATTGAAAATGTGCTTCAGTGCATAACAGTCTAAACGCACTTCGGTAAACATTTGTATCAGAATGGCGCTTAGACTGTGCTTAGCCTGGGCAATTTTTTAAATTTTTAATCCAAAATTACAAAAATATTTTATGGAAAATAAAAAAAGATGTAATAATTTTTCATCCTCAAAAGCAATTGTTCTGTCAATACAAGCAGAAAGTTTTTTAGATCATTCAAATCAGATGCTCCGTTCTCTCAAAAACTCGATTTGTATTTTCTGCACTCTTTACTCCATATCTCCGTAACGGCTGGACTTGCTTTTGCCAAAAACTAATCAGCACATCTCCATATCAATAGGAATCGAAATAAATTAAAAAAATGAAATCATACCATGGTCAAGTATTATTTTGCGATTTTCGTAGAAAATTTTTTGTTTCCGATTTTGATCATATTCACAACGTTGGTTCCTTATGACCTTAGAAAAATGCTAATAGATAGTTTTTAGCGAATATCTCGCAAACGGTTAGAGCTATCGTAAAATTTTGCATCAGCAGATAGATATTTTAAATAAGCATATTTCGTTCATATACATTATGACCCTATATTGAAAAGTTTTCGAGTTATAGGCGTTTAACCGTTTGAAACTTAAAAATTTTAAACCATTCAAATCGGTTGACCCGTGCGCCCGAAAATGTGTAAGAAAAATTGTATTCATGCATACATACATACATACATACACACACACATCCATCCATTTTGTCTGAGGTATGCCAAAATGTAAAATAAAACAAAACCAACATAAATGTACTAGGATCCAAAACAAGAGTACTAAGACATAAGAGACTAAAAAAGTCGAGGTAAATAAAAAAAATAGAGAGCTGAACCCAAAAACAAGTTTTAGTTGTCATACAAAAGTAACAGAAAAAATTTCTCAAAATTCTAATAAACGAAATTAATCATTTTTTTAAAATTCAAAATTCAAAACATAACCATAACACCCAATAATTTTTTTTTCAGATCCCCCAATCGTGACCCTACGTCTAGGAAGTACCCTAAGTGCCGACGACATTAAAGAAGGTGACGATGTCTACTTCGAGTGCCACGTCAGCTCCAATCCGCCTTGGAGGAGACTTTTGTGGATGCACGATGTAAGTAAAATTAAAAAAATCCTCAAAAAAAACCCTTGGATCAATTAAAATCAAAAAAATGATTATTTATCCCCCAGGGTGCTGTTTTATCCCACAACACATCAGGCCGAGTCTTCAGATCAAACCAAAGTCTGGTTTTGCAACATGTAACGAGGCAAAGTGCGGGAAAGTACGCCTGTTCTGCAATAAACAGCGAAGGCGAGACGATTTCCAACGAGTTGGACTTTCGAGTAAAATGTAAGTCACCAGTAGTTTTTTAATAAAATCTAAGTAATTTGTTTATAATAAAATAGCAAAATATTTAATATATAAATACTATTATTAATTATAAAAACGAAAATGTGAGTCAAAGTTGAGAAATTTTTTTATGCTGTGAAGTTATATACTTGGGTTTGACGATTTTCAAAAACCGGTTTTAAAAACCGGTTTTTTGGCGAAAATTATGAAATTCGAAAACCGGTTTTTAGTGAAATAAGTCGGTTTTCACTGTATAAATGGAAAATGACAAATTTAGCCAAATATAAAAGATAGATGAAAGCGTTTTGATTCTTGAAATCATATCGGTTCAATAGCATTTGATATCTCATCAGTCTGCAATGGTTCCCAGAAAGGTTTTGTATATATTAATTTAGATTTTTATACCATTGTATACATTAATTTCAATCAGTGTGACTTCTTCTTGAAGAAGTAACTTCCACTACTCAAACTTAAAAAAATAGTTTAAAACCCTAGAAGCCACAAATTAAAGAATAAAAAACTTAGAATTATTATATCAGACTTTAAAAACAATTTAGCATAATTTCGTCGCATTTATGAGAGTATTTTCAATTTAAGATAATTTTGTGAGTAAACAATAAAGAACACGTCTAAGTAGCAATTTGATAGACGTTCTCATTTTTTAGAAATCATAATTTATTAAACAAATAAAACAATTAGAATGTTTAAAATTAATTAATTAAAATTGTTCGAAACAGACAATACGCGAGTTTAGCTTAATTATTTTTAAAACTAAAATTGATATTAACAAGTATGTATCAACATGTCTCTAATATATATATATTTTTTATAATTTAATGATTTTTTTTTTAGAAATGTATTATTTTTATTTATTCGAAAGCTTTCCTTACGCTATCATAAAAATATTTTTATTCTTATATGTGAAAAAAAAAAGAACTCTACTGACGAGCAATAATTAAAAATAAAATTTTGTAAGAAAAAGGTCTCTACTGACGAGCAAATGTTGAACAAAAATTTCTGTATTAGTAAGGACTCTACTGACGAGCAAACTTCAACATTTGAGTGACAAAAAATTTAATATAAAATTATAAAATTCAATTTGGATTTTGTTAAAACAAGAACTCTAATGACTTTATAAAGAAAAGGACTCTACTGACGAGCAATAGTCAAGTGTAAAATTTTGTAACAGAAAAGGTCTCTACTGAAGAGCAAACATAAACATTTGACTGACAAAAAATGCGGTATAATCTAATGAAATTAAATTAGATTCGATTAGAGAAAGAACTCTACTGACGAGCAATAGTTGAACGTAAAATTTTGTAAAGAAAAAGACTCTACTGACGAGCAGTAGTTGAAAGTAAAGTTTTGTATAGAAAAGGACTCTACTGACGAGCAAAGTTCAACAGTAAAGTGACAAAAAATTCAATTTTGTTAGAGAAAGAACTCTACTGACGAGCAATAATTAAAAATAAAATTTTGTAAGAAAAAGGACTCTACTGACGAGCAATAGTCGAACGTAAAATTTTTGCATTATTAAGGACTCTACTGACGAGCAAACTTCAACATTTGAGTGACAAAAAGTTTAATATAAAATAATAAACTTCAATTTGGATTTTGTTAGAGAAATAACTCTACTGACGAGCAAAAGTCGAATGTAATATTTTGTAAGAGAAATGACTACTGACAGGCAATAGTTGAACGTAAAATTTTGTAAAGAAATGGCCTTTACTGACGAGCAAATCATTAAATAATCTAGAAATTGAAAAAAGGGACTCTACTGACGAGAAAATCATTGCATAATCTAGAAAAAAATAAAAAAAGGGACTCTACTGACGAGCAAATTATTTAACCTAGAATATAAAAAAGGGACTCTACTGACGAGTAAATTATTACATAATCTTGAATATAAAAAAGAGACTTCACTGACGGGCAAATTATTAAATAATCTAGAAATTGAAAAAAGGGACTCTACTGACGAGCAAATCATTGAATAATCTAGAAGAAAATAAAAAGGGAATCTACTGACGAGCAAATTATTAAAAAAATCAGCAAAATAAAAAAGGACTATACTGATTAGCAAATTTATTAGCAATATCAAAAATAAGACTCTACTGACGAGCAAATTAAAAAATGATCTAAAAAATAAATAAAAAATTATAATTTTCAATATTAATATCAAAATTACTTTGACAAAACAATTGCTTTTGAGATTAAAAAATTATTACATCTTTTTTTATTTTCCATAAAATATTTTGGTAATTTTGGATTATTCAAAAAATTCACAAAATGACCCAGACTAAGCACAGTCTAATCACCACTCTGGTACAAATGCAAGTCACCACGTGTATAAGGGATGATCATCCCTTTCCTATAGGAATTTATCCTTCATCGCCCGGTCACAAAGTTCAATTTTGATATGCAAAGTTTATTATCCTTTACCTTCGTTCGAACACAAAACTAAGAAAGGGAGGAATGGTGAATGGAATGACTTTGTGTAAAAGCAATCGTTACGAAGACACGGACATAGTCCTTATTTTCGGGCCCTATTGTGTTTAGGGTTAGTTTTGAGGACAAGGACATGGAAAACGATCATTGACGAGTAAGGGTTGGGGACAGGAAGGATATAATATAATTTACTTTAGCATTATGTCAGTAGAGTCCCTTTTCTATATACATATTTTCTAAGAAATTCTAGTTTGCTTGTCAGTAAAGTCCTTTTTATGTTTAAATATTTTCTAAAAAAATCTAGTTTGCTCGTCAGTAGACTCGCTTTTGTGTATAAATATTTTATTGCTCGTCAGTAGAGCCCCTTTTTTTGTTTGAATATTTTGTAAAAAAAAATTCTAGTTTGCTTGTCAGTAGAGTCCCTTTTGTGTATAAATATTTTATTGCTCGTCAGTAGAGTCCCTTTTTTGTTTAAATATTTTCTAAGAAATTCTAGTTTGCTTGTCAGTAGAATCCCTTTTCTACATAAATATTTTATTGCCCGTCAGTAGAGTCCCTTTTTTGTTTAAACATTTTCTAAGAAATTCTAGTTTGCTTGTCAGTAGAGTCTGTTTTGAGTATAAATATTTTATTGCTCGTCAGTAGAGTCCCTTTTCTTGTTTAAATATTTTCTAAAAAAAAATCTAGTTTGCTTGTCAATAGAGTCCTTTTTGTGTATAAATATTTTATTGCTCGTCAGTAGAGTCCCTTTTTCTGTTTAAATATTTTCTTAAAAAAATTTAGTTTGCTCGTCAGTAGAGTCCCTTTTGTGTATAAATATTTTATTGCCCGTCAGTAGAGTCCCTTTTTTTGTTGAAATATTTTTTAAAAAAATTCTAGGTTGCTCGTCCGTAGAATCCCTTTTGTGTATAAATATTTTATTGCTCGTCAGTAAAGTCTTTTTTTGTTTAAATATTTTCTAAAAAATTCTAGTTTGCTTGTCAGTAGAGTCTCTTTTGAGTATAAATATTTTATTGCTCGTCAGTGGAGTCCCTTTTTTTGTTTAAATATTTTCTAAGAAATTCTAGTTTGCTCGTCAGTAGAGTCCCTTTTGTGTATAAATATTTTATTGCTCGTCAGTAGAGTCCCTTTTTTGTTTAAATATTTCCTAAAAAAAATCTAGTTTGCTCGTCAGTAGAGTCCCTTTTGTGTATAAATATTTTATTGCTCGTCAGTAGAGTCCCTTTTTCTGTTTAAATATTTTCTCAAAAAAAATATTTTGCTCATTAGTAGAGTCCTTTTTCTGCAAAAACATTTTCCAAGCAATTCTAGTTAGCTCGTCAGTCAAGTCCTTTTTTGTTAAAATATTTTCCAAGAAATTTGAGTTTGCTCATCAGTAGGGTCCGTTTTTTGTGTAAGTATTTCCTAAGAAATTTGAGTTTGCTCATCAGTAGAGTTTCTTTACTGTATTTTTTTTTTTAAATTAGTTTGCTCGTCAGTAGAGTCCCTTTTCTGTATAAATATTTAAATGCTGGTCAGTAGAGTCCTTGTTTGTAAGTATATTTTCCAAGGAATTGTAGTTTGCTCGTCAGTAGAGTCCTTTCTCTTATAAAAATTTTTGTTCAACTATTGTTCGTCAGTCGAGTCATTTCTTTTATAAAATCTTACATTCGTCTTTTGCTCGTCAGTAGAGTCCTTTTCTTTACAAAATTTTACGTTCAACTTTTGATCGTCAGTAGAGTTCTTTCTCTTACTTTTTTTTATTATTTTTTATACCCCTATTACCAAATTATCATTTAGGGTATGTTATATTTCCTACTCCAACCCTAAACAATTTACAACCTTAAACCCTTAAACCGTCCTAAAAAAACACACAAACTGCATCATATTCGACATCGTAGCAAATTCGAAACTCTTTCACGTATCTTATAACCATTTTCTTACAAAGAGGATATCGATGGGATGATAGGGGATGGCGGGGTAAAATCGAAGGCTTTCTAATGAGATTCGTCGACTATCTTCTATTCGAGAGAAGAGAGTAGTAGTAGTAGTAGTACGACGATAGAAACAACTTCTAAAGTAGAAAATAAACGAGAACGGTGGAGAACCCGGTGGAGGACTGTGTGTTGCCAGATGCCATCGCGTGTGTGTGGATTTTTTAGATGGATGGATGGTAGAAATATATTTAGACAGGGTTGGGGTTTAAATATTTCAGATTTAATTGAAGGTTTGACGTAACTGATTAAGTTTTTTTGTACAGCGAAAAAAATACATTTATGCATTCCAGACTGGGTCTTTTGTCTGGGTATGTCGGACTCAATACTGACTAAAACCTCGGCTTTTCTTTTGCCTCTGGTTAAGCATTACTTCGTGGGGGGAGGATCTAAAATTTTATCATTCTTAACTTTATTTTATACTGATCTTTCAAATGTGACTAGCTAGTTGTAAGTGGCATTTTGCTTCAAAGCAATTTAAGTTATTGTAATAGTTCAAAAATCGAAAATGAAAATGTCTTCACATTTTTACGTTTCAAAGGTTTCTGAACATGTTGGCAAACCTCAGAAAATAATTGAAAA